TATATATTGCCTTGGTTTGGCTCTGTAATCATTAGTGGTCGTGGGACTAGTTTGGGCCCTACCTAAGCTGGTCGAACGTTTTGTTTGGGTCTGTACCCTAGCTGCACTGATGAGGCCTGGAAGGCCAAAACGGATCCGTCTGCAGATATTGGGTTTCTTCCAGTGGATGCTTAGTTTATTTTGTCATTCTGATCGGATTTTCTCTACTGTTCCGTTTTAATTTTAATTTTAAATTGTTCTGCATTATATGGCCGTTTAAATTTTTTGCAGCATTGTAAAATTGTAAGGATCAAATTGCTCACTGACCTTTATATATGTAGATATAATGAAGACATAATAGTGTACATATATAAATTCATATTCATATAAATCATATTATACATCCCATTTCCCCTAATAACAGTACTGATATATAATTGCATTAGATGATACAATGATATTGATATATAATATATGTAAATATTACAATACAAAACTGTATACATTTCAGTGAACAAAGTATACAGCACACCTTTCCTTATACATGTAGCAAGTCCATATTGGACCACTTTTTGTTGGCAACTTTATGCCGTATAGTATACTCCATTTTTATTCCTATTCCTAATTCATAAATTTTGGGAACAATTTATTTTAGGGATTTGTTATTTTCAATTTCACCCAATTTTTTAAGAGTGGTATTGTACATAGCAATAATGGTTACCTTATTTTTTACCTTATATATAATCAGATTATACAACCCATTTTCCTTGAAAACAGTATTAGTATACGATTGCATGGAACGATAATGGTATCGTCCCATGCAATATATGCATACATATATATTTATATATTTTTGAGTGGCTTTGCACAAATAAATAGCACCCGTTTATGCGTAAAACGTTGAGCACATGTACGTGGAGGTGTGCATGGCATAAACCTGAGCGTATTTTTATGGTTCTCGGCATACTTTGCTGGTCCTCGGTCGGTCCTCTGATGACTGTTTTTAATCAGGGTCCTCTGGACATTATGTTTACAGGTATGTGTGTGTGTGTGTGTAATAATTTGAACAATAGACAAGTCTAAAGTAAGCCAAATACTACAGTATGAAGGCTGAATGGTATATGCACAGATTAATTCTACTGTACTACTATTACCTCTTAGATGAGCACCCTCATATAGAAAATATAACAATAATTCCTACGGTACCACATGACCACACTATAATAACAATATGCTTTTCCTCATTAGAAACAATGGCCGTATTCGGTATCCATAAAGTAAACTGTTAGACCAAGCCAATGATAATGATTCATATATAATAAAGTTCATTAAATGAAAAAGATTACTTTAAAAATGTCTACCAAATCACTTACCAATAATGTAAATAGTAAACGAACAACTCCCTGTGTTACCAAACTTATCAGTAGCATTGCAAGTCACATTTGTGCTCTCTTCAAGAAATATAGAACCATTTGTATAATCACAAACAGCAATAAGATCATCTTCATAGTTGTCACTCACATCTGGGGAATCCCAGTAGGCGGTAGCGGCACATGATTCACCACCATCCAGATTCTGATCTTGTGGACATGTCACAACCGGGGGTTCACAGTCTTTTACAAAAGAAAATTATAATAGGCTATAATTTGCATTTAATTGATTTTCATAATAGTAATAATAATTTGCATCATTTGGTTCTGTTCACAATTGAAGCAAGCTATTTTCAATCATTTTTGTATTTGTCTATATTGTATGATGAAGTAAAAAATGAATGCAAAGAATGCATTAACATAATATATTACACCGCTTACTCTAACAATTTTCTTAGCAATATTTATTACCATAAACGACTAAAACTGCTGATAATTGTAAATTTCCACACCATGTTCTTAGAGTATATATACTAAAATATACTAAAATATATTTCAATTAGTTTAGTTCATTCAGGTATTAGTATTTAAAAAGATTTTGTTGTATTCAGTGGCAAAATTTTGTAGTTAAAAAAAACAGACATGTGTGTGTGTGTGTGTGTGTATATGTGTGTGTGTGTATATAT